TAACCACTCACTCATTGTCAGCTCCATATCACATCAGACAATTCATTTTAGACATGTTTTAACAAAAAAATTTTTATCAAAAAGTTCTGAAATAAATTTCTGTTGGTCAGTCAGACTGCAAGTGGTGAAAAAGAAAAAACAACAGTTTTGATTTTCAAATAGCTTAACAACTAGGATTTTGTTGGTGTGAAGTCTGTGCCAGCACAGAACCAACAGTGATGCAAACTAAATTATAAGATAGTCACAAAGTTGTTGCCAAGTCAAAGTTGCTCACATAAAATGTTAAAGTGATGCTGAAATTATTCAGTAGCGTTCCCTTGATTCGCTCTGGGGACATGAGCTGAAAATCAGTTTGAAGTTGAAGTCTGGCACAATAATGTGAACACAGTATTTACATCATTCTTGTGTCACTCGTGTTGAATTAAAATGCACAACTATGATAAACAATGAACATTTTTTAAAGTTAAAATGTAAACATCTTTAGCCGTTTTTTTTTTTTTTTACTGCAAAATTGTAATAGTGAGGTCTAAATTTGTTATTGTACCAAATAAATTAATAAAGTAGACTTAAGACAAAATATTTTTTTTTAATTTTTAACGCAATAAAAGATAATTTCAAACGGTGTCCATTGATTCTGCATCACTTTTTTACCAGGAAGAACTTGTGAAAATATCTTGCTCTTTAAAAAAAATGTCATAAATTAAACTGTTGCTTCTACTTTTAAATTTTAATGCCAAGTTTTCTCTATAAAGTTGTCTTCAATTGCCGGAGTTACTGAAAGACATTAACATTTTTAACTGTGAGATGTAAATAAAAATTGAAAAAAAAAATTTTATCATCAAAGAAACTTTTAAAATTAAAATATTGAGAAAAGAATTCTCGCCATCCAATAATTAATTGAATGACCAAACAAGTAGCTACGGTCGACATTGATAGAAAGAACACTACATTTCTTATCGTTTTTACCAAAGCTCAATTTTTAGTTTTATCAAAATTAGTCAGTTAATAATATGATTTTAATGAGGATTGTTACTATAGAAAATGTTGTGGACATTGGACAGGGTTGCCATTCCCTGGATGAGCAGGGAACTGGAGAAGCATAGCTCTCATGCACTATTAAACCATGTTGACTTCCTTAGGTCAAAGTTCACTCATTTGTAAATAGTGTATGAAAAGTGTATTGATTGAAACAATCATTGCTGTATTATTAACCATGGGGTTTGGGCTTAGGTGTGCAACACAATGCAAAGAGTGCCCGCCCCTCCCCTAAACAGATGTAACTTTTTTGTTTGGATTGACTAGTTTACTCATTTCCAGGTTTTGTCAAGTTAGAGTTCATTTATCATTTGTTGTGCTACAACTACAAACTTTATTCATCATTGACATGTGCTTGAATTTAATTTTTTTTTTAAAGTGTTGTTACATTTTGTTTGCAAATTAATTTTTTAAAAAAAAGAAAAGAAAAATTTCAACATCATTTCTTCATGGTGTTTTATTGTTATTTATTTATTGAAATGGAAAGTTAAGTTTAGAAATTTTTCTATGAATTCATGAATGTGCCTCTTGTTGAAAAGCTGTTTTGTTAATTTTGATTTTTCGGGGAACAAAAAAAAAGCCATTGTTTTTAAATAAATTAACTTGTGTTAATAGACTTTAAATTTTAAAAAGAAAACAGAATAAATAGTAAGTTGTTTTTTTGTTTTTTTTAAAGTTTAATCATCCAAAAAAAAATTCTGAAACTTCTGAAAGAGCAACTTAAATAAATCAACAAAAAAAAAAAATGGTGAAGCTAACAATAGCAGTAATTTATTTTTTACATCACTGATCAAGCAAACATGCAGAAATAATATGTGTTTAAATACAGTTAACTTCTCTTTAAATATACCATCAAGGAAAGATAGGCGAACATTTAATGTTGTTGATTTTACAACATTATATTAATTAATCTTTCAATTGAAGAATTATTTTTTTTGTAGTGTATAAAAATAAATTTTTTTAATTTGATAGAAATAGAAATGTAAAAACAAAATTTATATAAACAGGTCAACTGATTGGCCAAACTATGGCACATCTGGTTGGGTGTTACTGTCAAGCCATATTTCATATTTTTATCAGGAAATGTCGCACTGAGTAGCAACTTATGTTCTATTTAATATGCTTGATATATGGTTAAAACCCCAGCATAAAATGTACGCACACAAACGCACCTTAAAACTTATCTAAGGCTTTTATCATAGAGCTGAAACTGTTTAAACACTTTAATACAATTATTATTTCCAATGCAACAGTAGCAGAAATAGTTGGTCTGCGGTGCTCATTAAAAAATCAGATCCCTTACTTCTTCTCTGAAAATATGTTGCATTTTTATTTTAAAGTTGAAATTTACTCGGAATTTAATGGGCCTAAACAAACTGTCATGTGAGTCATGTAGCACTAAATTAAATGTCTGTCACATGACTTATATAGCAATTAACAAACCGTTATATGACTCATTTGGCAGTAAACTAATAGTTTTAACTCATGCTGCACAACATTTGAGAATTAAGTTTCTATGAACCAGGTATTTTGTTAACCTTGAGGAGATGTGCATTTCTCAATACACCATGCATTTCTCTATACACCACGCTCACCTCTTACAGAAAATGGCCTTAGTCACTGGCTCCTATTTTAAATTTAAAATAAAACTAGGGGAAACAAAGCTACTCAAATCATTGTAGCCTACCTTGAGCTGACCATTAAGAACATTGTTCATACATGACATATATACATAAATATATTCTCTTAATTGGGACACATGTAAAGTTTTTAAAAATCTATTCAATCTTCCTGTGATAAACATTAAACGCAGAGAGAAAAGTTCAACAGGATTCAAATATCTGCTCATCAATAAAACAATGCAGCATTTTTTTTTTAAATATCTTTTTCTACATAGATACTTTAGAATTTACTGCTTCTACCATAATTCATTTCACATTTGAGGTAGATTTTAACTGAAGAAGAAAATTGTTGCATTTTTAAAATAAAATAAAACACCCATCAAATTTTTAAGAAAAATCAAAATGATGTATATGAATAAAGCGATTTACTTGTTAATGTTAAACCAATATGGAAATAAATTATTATTATTATTTTAAAAAAAATTTTAATCGTTTTCTTTTCAAATAAAGCAGTGAAAATAGGAGCACCGCTAGTTGTCTAAATTGAACTTGAACTCAGTCTATGTCTATCCGGTGAGGCAATGTTACAAATAAAAGCCCATGACTCTGAAACCATGCCGTGAGAACATCTTTTTTTGCATGATACCGTCCCATGGGCTTAGAATGTACATTTATAATATAAAATATCTTTTTTTTAATCACGCAATTAACATTTTACGACGCTTTTCATTATTTATTCTCCAGCTCTCAACATCTCAATTGCTCCTTCTCCCTCACAGATTTCTTCTTCTAAATATTAAGGGTCCACGATCACTGTGTTGATCATTCTGGCTCCTATGTAAGTAGACTTTATCTGTCTTTCGTGTGGGGAAATCACATTCAATATCTAGTTCTTCTGCCAATGATTTATCTGTCTTTACTATGGGGAAATTGCATTCAATACCTAGTTCTTCTGCCAATGATTTATCTGTCTTTCCTGTGGGGAAATTGCGTTCAATACCTAGTTCTTTTGTCAATGTTGTAATTGCTTTATTAAGATTTCATTTGTAATTTTTTTTCATACAGGAAAACCGTTCAATCGATTTAAAAACAAGATCACTCACTCTCTTGAAGAAAAGCATTTTGCTAGATATAACGGTACTGTGATTTACAACCACACTCTTCAACCACTCTCTCCCAAACATCATACTCTCAATCCACCCCTCCAGCTGTTTTCGTCATTCTCTCACTGTCTCTAGATGTTTCTATTTCAGGTTTGATATGTTATATTTATTATTTATTAAATACAGGTAATGACTATATAATTTTTAAATTTTTTTTTTTTAAAATTAGAATTTAAAAATGGCTTACTAATGAGAAAGTTAGAGTATTTTAGTGTTGCTTTTTTTTAAAGTCAGTCTTTTCTGACTAACCCATCCCTCCATCTTGCCCATTGTTTGGCAGCATACTCTCTCCTCCGAATGAGATAGGTTCACATTTTAAATCCAACATATCACCGTACGATGAGATAGGCAGGTCAGGCTCAGCTTTGACTTCCAGTTGGACATTTGAAGAACTTGTCACACTGTCCCGATTTTGGTGTCCAGTGGTCTCGGCAAGGCCTGTATTCAATATGGTGGCAGAACACAAGTCAACTTTAAACTGTAACGCAATCATCTAAATACTATAGTGCATAAACTAAATTAATTGCAATTATAATTTTACAATGATTACTTCTGGTAAACACTCAAACAGATGACTCAACATTTTACCAGGACGGTCGTGGTCTTTCAGAACTTACTCCTGGTTTGTCTTAAGCTAAAGCCACTACAGTTAAAGACTAAAAATGTAAACAAATTATATTTTTTAAAATTAACATAAAATACGTATATATGTATGTATACATATATTATATGTATACATACATATATATACATACATACATACATATTCATATACATATAAATATATATGTATACATACATGTTTTATTACTTGTTGATTACAATACATAATCTAATGTCCAGGCATAATAAATGACAAAAGTAAAAGAAATATAATTCATCCAAATTAGCATTACGATATTTTTTGTTCTCTCTTCAAAGAATGCCTCCCAGTCTCAGACATAAGTGTTCTCCCCCCCCCCCACCCCGCTGTAATCGCAAATAATTGTTGATTTCCGGACACCAATCACCCAAAACGATTTCAATGTCTTGGTTTTGATTTTAAAAAAATAAGTAGTAACCCGAAGTTAAACGCTTATATTTAAATATTTTACCAACAATATCGTCCAAAACACAGACTGGGTATACCGGTATCTATCTATGCCACCCTTGCCGACCTTGACGGGTGTAAACAACCCCACCTTGTCTGTAATCCAGTCCCTCATCCACGCGTGCCAGAGTAATGACGTCATCCGTGTGGTGGCCAGATCCCCCAGTCAGCAGGGGAGTCAATTCCTGCAAGGATATTGTAAATATCGGCTTTGGGATGCTGTGGACCAAACAGTAAGAAAGGATGACAGAGGGCTAGACCCAAAAAAATATTTAACATTGGTTATAAAAATGCCTGATAAATACATCAACAGCTCCAGACTTATGAACAGCTTGGTGACCAAATTATGTCTTTTCTTTGACCCCTCGTCCGACGTCACTGAGCTTACTGCTACCTAACTTGTGTTTGAATAGCTCACTTCAACTGAATAAACACAAGACACTTGAATTATCGCACCCAATTTTAAATTAGAGGGTCGGCCATTAATTATGTCAACAAAATAGTGGGTTGGGGGGTTGGAAATGTTTGACGGTTGTTGAAAGGGGGGTGGGGATAGATTATTTGACGTCAACAATCATGGTTTCTCTATTAAAATTTTAATCTTAAAAATTTACTGGTTATTACATTATTTTGACATATTTAATGAGTGTAAATAGTTATATAATTTTTAGGCTTTTAACAAGATAAGATTTATTTAATGTGTGTCTGTGCACTGCAGGTGGCTGGTCAGAATGTTGGCACATTTAGTAAATGCAAGAGAAGTCAAAAGTTGGCCTCCCTTCGCCTGTAGATTCTGTTTGTCGCAAATGACTAGGGTGGTGTGTTTGCGGTTCTGTGGCAGGTATGGAACAAGGACAAGGTTCAAGTATCATGTGCAGTCAAGATAAATGGTATTGATAGAGTGGTAAAATGATATTTTGAGATTTAGGGGAAAGTAAAGTGGGTAACAATAATCATATCGCTGCTTGAACGGATATCGCAAAATCTGTAACATTTATTTTCATCACAAGTCATGTTGAAATAGCAGGTTTAACAGCACCGACAATGCATAAGAAACTACCACCTGCTCCTCAACAAAAAAGGATTCGACTAATGCAAGTAGTTGCCAGGAGACAGACAAGAGCTTATGGCAGTTAATGCTCACACTGACAATGCTTCTATTTTAAGTGCTGAATGGTTAGATGAGGATGATGTTGCCTTGCCTGGTATATCAGTTCCGCATTATAAAAATGATAAATCAGCTAATCTGCCCATTGTTACGATAGAGCAACACTTGAATACTCCGCAGCTAGAAACTATGCTACAATTATCAGTTATACTGACAATAATCATATTTATACTTCCACAGACAATGATATTTAGTATTTAAACAACCTTTTCATTGATTCTGCATTATAAAATTTAAGTGTAAAAACTGTTTAACTTGCCAATGAACCAGCTAAAGATCCCATATGATGTCTGTCCTACAAGTTTGTGTTATTAAAATAGGTCCACACAAAGTAAAATGTATTTATATATTTATTTATATTATAATTAATTAACTTTTTTTTTTTTGGGGGGAGACATAATTACTTGGGGGGGGGGCATTGAAAGTTTGACAGTTGTCGACAATGGGGGGAGGGGCTCAAAAATTGCTTAAAATTTGCTTACGTAATTAATGGACGCCCCCTTATATCAATTTAACCCCTTTAAAATTTCACTTTCATTCATACTGTTTGAAACACAACGGGGGAAAAAATGCCAAAACTCAAGGGGCGCTACTCCAGTAAATGACTAACCCAGTAGTAAGGGCCTTGGTGACGACTGCTGTCCCCTTGCAGTGGTTCTTGATATGTTGGTTCATCTCATTCTTCAAGACAAAACGTTTGCCACAACCCGTGCATAAAAAAGGTCGATGACCTTGGTGCCTCTTCTGGTGATCTGTCAGATGAACTTTCTGCCTGAAAGCTCGGCCACATTCGTCACAACTGGGGAAGAAGCAGCGTAATGATAATGCCAATAACATACCACCCCCACCTCGCCGATTACCTAAATTAAATGTTTTCGCCATCTGAACTTTAATATACTCTAAAAATAAACTGTAAACCATTAACTTTATATTTATACTTGCTTCAACAGTCAATTTGGGAGGACTGATTGACAGACAGGCCGTATATACATTCATATATAATGTATGGCTGTGTTTATTCGGACCCGGTATCAGAAGTGAGAGGTTGATAGCGGCCATGCGTGTCTGGATCCATTTTGATTAAATGCTATTCGGATGTCATTTGTGGTCGTTTATTTTAGTTAAACTGAAGAATTAAGTTTACAAACATATTATAGTCCATTCAATTATCTTTCATTCGATACCAAATTTTATCTTACAAACCAAACCATTATATTTTAAACATTTTTTAATCCTAACCTCTCACCTTTCGTAGCCGGGTCCGAATAGCCACTTCGATAACATATACAAACCCCGTATTTATTTTTATATATTAATATATATATAGAGAGAGATAAATAAAGAGAGAGAGAGCGAGAGAGAGAGAGAGTCTCATTTCTGTGTGGGTCTACTCACCAATAGGGTCTCTTGTCTGTGTGGGTCAACTCGTGTCGTTTCAACTGGTGTCTGGCATTGAAGACCTTAGCACAGACGAGGCACGGGAACTGGTGTCTCGATTTGGTCGTGGAGTCCGGCGTTGTAGGGGGCGTTGATGTCTTGGAGACGGACGCGGTGAAGACTGAACGGGCGGCTGCCGTGGGCGAGTTCGAGGTCACCGCCGCAGCCAGCACTGACGTCATCGACGAGCTCGATAAAGCCGTGGACTTTGAGACGTTTGGAATTTGATGACACAGCGCAAAATTGTGTGAAAGTTCAGCTCCGCACACGATCAAAGGCGCCGACGCCTCATGACGAGATAAGACCCGCGTTGCGTTTTGGCACCTTTGAGTCCAAACGCTGTGCCCGGACGACGCGATCGCCTTGACCAAGGCCGCTGATGCCGGGAGTTCACCTGCAGCCATTAACTGTACGCTGTCTGTTTCCAAGGCGCTATTGTCATACTCAGCCGTTGTATCGCCCGCGTGCGTCTCTGCTGCGTCACACATTGCCTTGGCGTTACCTTTACGTTTCATGATGGAGGGCTCGTGTTTCGGGGTCTCTCTGGATTTGATTTTCTGACGCCATCTCGAAGACGGTCCAGTCTCACAATTTAATAAATGTTTTGGCTGCTCGTCTTCTTTGGACGCTGGAGCTCCTCTGTCGACGGTGGCCTTGAACTTGGCCCGCCGACCCCGCGAGCTACAAACGAGGCTCTCCAGCCACGGCTTGAAGGTCGCATACAATGTTTCTACGGGGTGAGATCTGCTCTCAATCTCTTTGGAATCTCTGCAAGCCAACAGGCCTAGGCATTTCAAGTGGGATTCGGTCGGGCAGGATTCGTATTCATCGCGATTGTCCGGTGTCCTAATGAGCTCCATCGGCTCGTCGTACAAACGGGAGCTTGGTGACTCAAATTGCCCGTGGCAGAGGCCAAAGGTTATGCTGTCCATTGAGCTCAAGGGTTGATGGGAGAATTCCTCTGACAACTTGCTAGTTTGAGAACCACAACCTTTTTCAAAGTTCGGATTGGTTTCATTTGAACAGGCCTCATTTGGAAAGGACTCATTTGGAAAGGCTTCGTTTGAACCGGCCACATTTGACGAGGCCACATTTGGACTACATTCATCTTGTTTGGAGATATTTGGGTTTGCTCCCTCGGCTTTATTTACACAGCTTTCGTGAAAGGACAAAGGCAAGCTTAGCTTCTTGACGTCTGAACCCCTTAGCTGTTCCAGCGATGTAACATTCTCACACGTCAAGCTGTTGTAGAATTGACTTCTAAAGGCGTTGGTGTTACCTGCTTCATCATTTACAGACAACTTGCCGGAGTTCAGTGCTAAACACGTATTGGAGGGTTGACTACGGACGGCAGACATTTCTTGTACGGCCGATTCGGGACTTTCATGGGTCAAGGAACTGGAACAGCTCACGGTGTCTGTAAGATTTTTACCGGGTGATGGAGACTTGAGGATCAGTCTCACAGTTCCCGATGATGTAACATTCGGAAGAGCAACCGACGTCGTCATGACGTGCGGTTGTGTGGGTGATTCGCTTGTGCTTGTTGGCATTTCGATTAAACTGTTGACGTTGTCAGCGCATTTCGGTAGATCTGCATCATCCTCTTTGGCGGCGCCAAAAGTGGATGGGGCAACGCGTCTGAATGCGCCGCGGCTTGGCGTGCGATCATCGGCAGTGCAGGTACTCTTGTCCAGAGAAAGGTTCGTTTTTCTCTCGGTATTCAGTGGCGTGAGGCAGTACTGGAGAGCTAGGTCTGCTGCTTGAGACTCGTCGTCAATCTTCTTGTCAGTTTCTTTTGTCTGGCATTCAGCCAATTCCAAGTCACCGGTGCCGTCTAAATAATTCTTGTGAGTGAGATCGGAACATTTTTGGTTAAGTGGCAAGTCGACTTCATTTCGTTTCTCTGTGAATTGTGTGTCGGTGCTCGCCATCATGTCTACACCACCCACGAGATCGGAGATCTGAACTTTCTCAGAAACCAAAGGGAAGACATCCTGCGCGGGCTCTAAAAGAAACAGATCGTTTTTAATATCCCCACCACACACCTCTCCTGATGGCGAGTGACGCTCTGGCTCGAATTCTTTCACGGGGCTCACTTCACCGGCCTTAGCTTTCCGATGGCTTCTAAGGCGCATGCGCGTCCGACTGCCCGCCTTCGAACTGACGGGTTTACTGGAGACGATGAGTCCGATGTGGTAGAGAAAGTTCATATCAGATGTCGCATCTTTCGTCTTGTCTACGGATGTCTTTCTTTCGCTTCCCAGTGCAACGTTCTCCACATCGCTCGAAGCTGGGCCGTCCTCCTCACCGCTATCCCGTTTACTGACATCTTGGTAGCAGGTCTCGTCGTTGTCGTCCTCGTGTTCAAAGCCTTCCGACAACTCCACTTTATTGGGATCATCTTTGTCTTCATTGTCTGCAGACACAGAGAGACTGGAGTCCGACTCTTCAACTAAACTGTCCAAACCGGAACGGGAATCATTGTTCTCCTTCAAACTTACTTCTCGGTATATGGATTTCGGGTCAGCGGACTCGAGTGATCTAGGAGTACAATTTAGGGTGTGCGGTCCAGCCGTACACTCGTCAATCAGTAGCCGACGCGATTCTTTATCCCCCAGAGCGTCGATTTCAATGACGTCCATCGACTTGGACGATATGCACTCCGAAATCGTTCTACCGTTATTGCTAGCCTCGGCCACGATGAGTGGCGCCTTCAAATGTTGGTCCCTGTGTTCACTCTTGAGAAGTTCCACCAGTGCGGTGTGTTTGCGTTTGACGTGACGCACCAAGTTGCATTTTTCGGTGAAGTTCCAACAGCAAATTTGACACACATACTTTTCCCCGTCCCTCGAGCTCTTGCGTTTGCCGGCTCTCTCAAACTTCAAAATGAACGCCTCCATCTTCGTCGCATCGACAACTCCGTGCTCTTTCCTCACGTGCTGCTTGATGCTGCCCAGGTAGTAGTGACGTTTCTCGCACACCTTGCAGCGGTAAAGGGCGTTTTCGGCGTTGCAAGCCTCGTATTCGATATGCTTAGCGAGGGAAGTGCTGTCAATAAAACCCTTGCCGCATTCCTTGCACTGGAAAGGACGGCTGCCCGTGTGCTTCCTCATGTGAACCTTCAAATGAACGTTTTGGGTGAATTCTCGTATGCAGATCGTGCACTTGAACGGCTTCGTCCCAGAGTGGATCTTGAAGTGCTTGGCGAGTGTTTCTTTCCTTATGAAAACTTTGGAGCAGACAAAACACTTGAACGAGGGCTTGCCGCTAGCCACGTGGGCCTCGATCTTCTCCTTGTAATACTGGGCGAACTGCTCCGGTGCTTTGTGGATCAGCTTATGCTTGAGCAGGTTGTGTCTGTACGTGAATGCCCTCTTGCAGACGTCACAGCTGTAAGGCTGCACGTGACGACGATGTTTGACCTCAACGTGCGTCTCCAAGTGATTGTTCAGCGCCTGCGCGGTCGCGAACTTTTCCGGACAGTACGGACAGTCGTAGCCTGTCTGGAGAAAATCGGACGGCTCCTTGGTCTGCTGGAGCCTGAGCTTCTCGACGCCGTGAGATTTGATGTGGTTGTTAAAGGACGATCGGCAGCGGAAGATGACGCCGCACATGTTGCAGAGGAACCTTTTCTTGCCTTTCTCGTGGTTCGCCTCGTGCTCGTTTCGGTGGCCCGTCTGTTTGAAACCTTTGCCGCATATCTTACAGCTGAACGGCCTGATGTCCGTGTGGGACTGCTCGTGGCGTTTGAGTCGGTAGATCGTCTTGAAGCCTTTGCCGCACTCTTTGCACGAGAGGTCTTTCTCGGTGTAAGACTTTCGAGGGCGCCCGGGGCACTTCACCACTTCCCGCTTCTTCCTGACGGCCGGGCTTTCGCTTTGAACTTGCGGGCGCTCGTGGACACTCATGTGACCCACCAGGTGGGCTTTCTGCTTAAATCTTTTGGTGCACACGTGGCAAGAATGGGGTCGAATCTCGCTGTGGGATATCTCATGGCGTCGAAGGTGATACTCGTTACGGAAATGTTTGCCGCATGTGGCGCACGCCACGTTCTCTCTCTTTAACCCGCCGGCTCTGGTTGTTTTCTTACCGCAAGGCTCGGACTGCTTCACATCCCGTTGTGCTGCCGAAGTTTTTTCGGACATTTTCTCAACAAGACTTTTCTGCCTCCCGCTCCATTTTGTGGGTCGCCATTCTTCATCAGAGGTGTCGTCAATGTTTTCCTTTAACTTCGCTATTTCATCGTCGGTGCCTTCGTCATCTACTCCAAACTTTATCTTCGTGGGATCAATAAAATCAGTTTGACCAGCTGCCCTGGGAGCGTGGCGTAGCGGTTGTGGGACAATCACTTGACCTGCTTCACCTCGATTTGGCAGTCGGTCAAGAGTCTCTGTGACCTCTGACCTGCTCAAAGATGTACTCCCTGAACCACATTTGGGCTCTGTTTGTAGATTTTCTTTGAGTGGGCCCTTGGCAACCGGGTTCATTTCACAAGGGTGCATCTGTGAGAAACCAATATTTGGAAAGACTGACGGGTAGGGCATTGGTTGAAGGAAGTAAGGATGTGGCTGCACAAAGACCATTCCTTGGGACTGAACTGCATTATGAGAAATTAAATGATCAGGGTAAATGACCCCAGGGTATTGAATCCCGCCGATGAAAGGAGCCCCTCTCAGTCCATCGCTTATATTGGCGGCATGAACGGCATCAGAATATCGGCTTGAGGCACCTGCGGCAGTTTCGTTGGAGTTTAACATATTTGAGGATGTTGCCGAATTAGTTGTAAGAGGGTCGCGCGCCGAGCCATGTCCTGTGTTATGAATGGGCCCAGCTTCTCCGAAGCGAGATCCGATACCGAGTGGAAAGACATTGGGCAGCAGAGACATGTGATTAGCGCTGGAACTATTAAGTACGATGTTATCCCAATGCTCGGGTTGAGATCTCTGTTGCTGCATACCCAGAGTAAAGGGGGCTAGCTGAAAATTGTAGTTGCCTGTCGCATGGGAGATGTGCTGTGGCCAGAACGGCGGCACGGCGACTGGTGGATCCAAACCAGTCTGTTCATGCGGATATGTAAAAGCTTTCCGCTTGTACCGCTGTGTGTTCGCCGCATGTCCGTCGCTGTACGAGACGTCGCGGCTTTGATGAAGACTCTTATGGATATCGTGTAGACCCGTGTTTACATCCAGGCCGCCGTTATCGGACACGGCATCCACAGCGCTGTCTAGACTCAGGTGTCTGGTACGTTTGCACTTCCTCCTGGGCACGTCGCTCTCGGCGACGGTTGCCGTGGGAGAATGTTTTATGTCAAAAACGTGTTCAGGGAGGGTCGGGCTGTGGCCATCTTTGTGTTGGCTTGGACCCAAGTCGAACCACTCGTCCACAACAAACCCTTGAATGATTTCCTTCTTTAGAGTTTCCCCATTCACCGTAAGCTCCCTTCCGGACGCCTTCTCTGTGACCGAGAGGGGAGAGTCCTTGAGCGAAGGATTTTGCATCACTTGATCGTTTCTAGGGTTTTTCCGCGATCTGCTTCTGCCGTGAGGCTGCCCCGTTGCAGTGGGTGAACATGACGTCATCTGGTCTTTTTGTTTCCTGTGATCATATAAGTCTGGAATCTGAGGCTCGGCGAAATTTGCACCGGCTGCACTTTTCTGAACAAGGCCGATCCTCTTCCTTGGAGTTGGTGTTTTCCTGTGCCTCGACCTTGTTTGGATTTGGGCTTTACTTCTTTGCCTGGGGCTGCTGAGACCCGACTTGGGACATTTAGAGCTCATTTCCCTTAATGTTGAATAGGAATGCCCTATGTCTTCCAGCAGCGTGCCCTTTATTTACAGCTTTAGTCTGAAGAAAATGAAAAGAAAACAAGTGAACACAATAACAATGACCTAGAAATAGCCCGCCAAACAATGGTAGCGGCAATGCGTACACTTCCCTTCTACTAAGCATTCAAGTAACATACTTGATAAGACCAAGACCAGTCCCTGCTCCATCCTCACCGTACATAAACTCATTCCCCGTTGTGGCACCCCCCCCCTTGGGTTTACTTTTATCCCCGACTTTTTGTTTCGCCTCTATGATCTATATTATATTATATTCCAACTATGTACACTAAATTTAATGAAAATCGTATTTACGTAAAGGTAGCGGCAATGCGTACACTTCCCTTCTACTAAGCATTCAAGTAACATACCTGATAAGACCCAGACCAGTCCCTGCTCCATCCCCACCGTACATAAACTCATTCCCCGTTGTGGCACCCCCCCCCCCCTTGGGTTTACTTTTATCCCCGACTTTTTGTTTCGCCTCTATGATCTATATTATATTATATTCCAACTATGTACACTAAATTTAATGAAAATCGTATTTACGTAAGTTCAAGAAAATCATTTTAATGACTAACATCAAATGCCTCTTGTATAATATAAAAGGCTGCTGGTGCCGTCGCAATGGTCGGATATGGGAGCAGAAATCGTGGGTGTCGAAGGCTCCCGAATGAATTCAGGGGGAAGTGTCTAAGGGTGGGGGGGGGGCTCGCATACCCAGACATGTTTTTGATAGCTTCAAAATGCAAGGATGTCGTTTGGCGCACACCTGAATGTATTTGTTTGCATTGTACAACGCTTGTTCGAAGAACAGCAGAAGAGATTTAGTTTCCATGTACCTGCTTGTGTTTACACAACTGTATTTTTACTTTTCTTACTTCCTTACGCCTTTTTACCCCCCGTCTGGGGCAGAGGCCGTCCACAAGAATTCTCCACTCATCACGGTCCTGTGTTTTTAGGTTGCTTCTACTTCTAAACAGTATTGTTCTAGTACCAGTTTTAAATCAAATTATTTGTTTGAACTACTACATTAATATCGTGTGTGTGTGCGTGTAAATATGGCAGTTTTAAACAAGCGAGCGCCACGCACGAAATCACTGATATCATCTCTCGACACATTGAAAGAAAATGAAAGGAAAACTATCAGTCAATTGATATCCTTTTTTATTATTATTACTTTTTAAAATTTGTTTTTGGGGGCATTATTTTAAAATTATAAAATGTAAATGAATGGATACTTAAGGAGATACTTACCAAAAAAAAACAAACAAAAAAACACCATCTATTTATTCGAGTGTCATTTATCCGAGGAATATTGAAAAGTGTAAAAATCCCCCCCCTCTCCCTCCCCCTTTTGCCCCCTCCAAAAAAAATATATAATAAATCAGTTGATTGAGCGGTTTATTTGGAATTCAAACTACTTTGTCTTCGACAGAGAAACGACAAAATTAATAAACAAAGTAGAACCTGCTCATAAAAAATCTTTGAAAAATGCTTTAAAATTATTTCAACCAAAAATCTTTTTTTTTAATTTAAAAAAGTTTAGTTAAAGTTGAAAATCGCATAACTTTTAGCGAAAATCTTGGGAAAAGATGCTACCCATTCTACTTTTAAATCAAATCAAAATTGTCAAAAAATCGTTCGATATTTATTAACATGAGCAGCATGATGCCCCTAGAAGCTAGAAGCCCCACCCCCAGACGTGTGAGGCTCTGTCTGGGCAACTGTCCAGGTGAGGTCATGCCGGAGGCCATTGGCTAGGGGGTCATTTCGTTATGAAAAAATTACCCACAACAATATATATATATATATATATGTGTGTGTGTGCGGAAAATACATTGTTGGAAGCTGTTTTTACGAAAAACATTGTCTAAAAATAGAAACATTACGTAATGTGATGTTTTCCTGTAGAAATGATTAAGCGAAACAAAAGTAGAATTATAAGTATTTGCCCCCCCCCCCCAAGCTTCCTTTAAATAAGCGGTTCTCAACCTGTGGGTCATGACCCCTTTGGGGTCACATGACCCTCTCCCAGGGGTCGCCTAAGACCATCTGAAAACACATATGCTCTACAGTTATGAAGTAACAACGAAAATAATTTTGTGGCCGGGGGTCGCCACAACATGAAGAATTATATTAAAGGGTCACGGCATTAGGAAGGTTGAGAACCACTGATTTAAACTAACATTATCACAAGCAGAATATAAAGTCACCAACGATAAGAGGAGAATGCTACACAATGAACTAATGCTCAATCTGAGAATTTGCATCACATGACAGAGAATTTTTTTTTTTTTACATATTTGATAGAGAAATAGCCATACGTCGTGGAAAATTTTTAACTGATTTTAGTTTTAGCTCCAGTTCAAACACGGTTATATCAAAATATTTGTCCATAATCATAACGATATAGGCCTATATGTTTATAAGTAAATAAATAAAAAATACTGTGACGATTGAATGTGCGTCGATGAAAATAATTATTTTCAGACCTGTTTACTCTTACGATTTTGGCGTAAAATTTATGATTTTGAGGTTATACTGTAAGTTTAATTTGTACTATTAAGTATTAAGATAATGTATTGAACGATTGTGTGATGATATTTTACGATTTTAAGAGTTTGAGGGTAAACTGGTCTGTATTTTTCATCTTTACTGCGTTTGCATTTGCAACCTTGATTTTAATGCTGATTTGATTTTAATGCTGATTTGATTTTAATGCTGATTTGATTTTAATGCTGATTCACATATTAAATAGTATTAACCGGAACATTTCCAAAAGTTTTGACGCCCATCTCAAGTGAGCGTGCCAGCTGGCACTGACACCTGTCAATTGGAAGTGTCACGGGAGCCTTGAAAAAGTATGGGGCTTCGTTGTACGATTAAACTTTTTTTTTTGGGGGGGAGGGGGGGGGGTTGAGTGCCTGAATGCATGGGGAGTTATTGTTCTTGGCTAGGGCTGCCATCCGTCCCGATATATCGGGGACTGTCACCGTTATGGACCTATAAGTAATAGTGTTTATTTTTTTTACTTCGTTGTACGATTAAACTTTTTTTTTTGGGGGGGAGGGGGGGGGGTTGAGTGCCTGAATGCATGAGGAGTTATTGTTCTTGGCTAGGGCTGCCATCCGTCCCGATATATCGGGGACTGTCACCGTTATGGACCTATAAGTAATACTGTTTATTTTTTTATATTTTTTTTTTTTACTTCATTTCTACACCCCCGTCTCAGAGTGTCGCGACGAGGTCCCAACTAGATATGGCATGCCAACCCGATATCTTGACACATGTATTGTGAGTTCGCATTATCAATCATCACTTAAATTTATAAGCCCAACGCGTCCCCATTTCACTGAAGCATTGCTCAACAATCTATAACATCTTCCCGTTCATTTCGGAACGCGATTTAGTTACCACTAAGCTCATGTGAGAAAACAGATGTTCACCAATGAAATCCACCTGGCAGTAGAGCCCATTTTTAGCGTAATCAGAATTTTTTAAAACATAAATTTTCTCGAAGAAAAAGTGATGGACGGAAGTTTGATCGAACGACAATTTGGTCAAAC